CAGAGTGTCTGTGCAAGATTCACTCCTAAATTAAAAGGATCACTGGCACCTCATCTGAACACTTATGGAGAGAGCGACTTGAATAGGATTCTCTAGTTCTCAGAGGAGAATAAGTTAAAGTGGTTAGAAGACCCCTGACTCATGTGTATTTTTAGACAGTTTTTTATGCTGCCAGAGGACTTGAGAGGCCCTTTGTTCCTGAAGGCCTAATTAGTTAAAAAGAAAACTTTGCATAACTCCTTCAACTGACGTAATTTTTTCCCTCCATGTTTTTGAGGATTATTTTCTTCCTAACTCCACATGGGGTGAGGGGCACATTATACCCTGCAGCTCCCTTTCTTCTGAAATCTTTATGGGCCAGCTACATTGCTGGGATCATTCTACTGACTTCACTGATGCTGCCGTGGGCTATTCAGAAGCCCTGAATGGAAACTGTCCAAAACAATTCAGGAGCAGTGGTGAGCAGGGGGTGAGTAATCACTGTGACTGGTTTTATTGCTGCCTCGCCACTTGCTCCCTGGGTAACCTTCACCTCAGTGTGCTTGTTCACCTCCACATCAACCAGCTCTCATAGCACACAACAGAACCACTAACCCAGGAACCTATCCTTGCAACAAAGCCCGTTGCCAACTGTGTCCACATATCTATTCAGGGGACCCCATCATAGGGCCTAATCACATCAGCCATACTATCAGAGGCTTGTTCACCTGCACATCTACCAATGCGATATATGCTATCCTGTGCCAGCAATGCCCCTCTGCCATGTACACTGGTCAAACTGGACAGTCTCTACATAAAAGAATAAATGGACACTGTCATAAATATAAAGGGAAGGGTAAACCCCTTTAAAATCCCTCCTGGCCAGAGGAAAAATCCTCTCACCTGTAAAGGGTTAAGAAGCTAAAGGTAACCTCGCTGGCACCTGACCAAAATGACCAATGAGGAGACAAGATACTTTCAAAAGCTGGGAGGAGGGAGAGAAACAAAGGGTCTGGGTCTGTCGATATGCTGCTTTTGCCGGGGATAGAACAGGAATGGAGTCTTAGAACTTTTAGTAAGTAATCTAGCTAGGTATGCGTTAGATTATGATTTCTTTAAATGGCTGAGAAAAGAACTGTGCTGAATAGAATGACTATTTCTGTCTGTGTGTCTTTTTTGTAACTTAAGGTTTTGCCTAGAGGGATTCTCTATGTTTGAATCTAATTACCCTGTAAGGTATCTACCATCCTGATTTTACAGAGGTGATTCCTTTACTTCTATTTACTTCTATTTCTATTAAAAGTCTTCTTGTAAGAAAACGGAATGCTTTTTCATTGTTCTCAGATCCAAGGGTTTGGGTCTGTGGTCACCTATGCAAATTGGTGAGGATTTTTACCAAACCTTTCCCAAGAAGTGGGGTGCAAGGGTTGGGAGGATTTTGGGGGGAAAGATGTGTCCAAACTACGTTTCCCAGTAAACCCAGTTAGAGTTTGGTGGTGGCAGTGGTTATTCCAAGGACAAAGGATAAAATTAATTTGTACCTTGGGGAAGTTTTAACCTAAGCTGGTAAAAGGAAGCTTAGGAGGTTTTCATGCAGGTCCCCACATCTGTACCCTAGAGTTCAGAGTGGGGGAGGAACCTTGACAGACACAAATCAGATGTCAAGAATTATAACATTCATAAACCAGTCGGAGAACACTTTGATCTCTCTGGTCACTCAATTACAGACCTAAAAGTCGCAATATTACAACAAAAAGACTTCAAAACCAGACTCCAACGAGACACTGATGAATTGGAATTAATTTGCAGACTGGATACAATTAACTTAGGCTTGAATAGAGACTGGGAGTGGATGGGTCATTAGACAAAGTAAAACTATTTCCCCATGTTTATTTCCCCCCCGCCACACACACACACTGTTCCTCAGACGTTCCTGTTAACTGCTGGAAATGGCCCACCTTGATTATCACTACAAAAGGTTTCCCCCTCCCCCCCACCCCCGCTCTCCTGCTGGTAATAGCTCATCTTAAGTGATCACTCTCCTTTCAGTGTGTATGCAACACCCATTTTTTCATGGTCTGTCTGTATATAAATCTCCTCACTGCATTTTCCACTGAATGCATCCGATGAAGTGAGCTGTAGCTCACGAAAGCTCATGCTCAAATAAATTGGTTAGTCTCTAAGGTGTCACAAGTCCTCCTGTTCTCATTGCATTACTGTGACCCATTAGAGAGAAGTGATTTGAAGGAGAGAAAAAGTAGCGCACACAGTGCACTTGGTGACTTCATTGCCGTGGGTGCTAAGACTTAAAACAGGGTTTTTAAGCTTCAGTTCCATCTTGATATTTACCAGGCTACCGCACTCTTGGAACATGGACAGACTTGTAATTCCTTTGGAGAAGTATTATCCTCAGGTATAAAGAAGCCGCAGTTACAGTGGATCACTGCATGAGCCAGTTTTTTATTGCTGACGCTTAGATCAAAGGATGGAAACATTTTGTAACCAGACATGTGACTAACCTTGTCTTGTAACAAAGGAACAGCTTCGAGCTCCACCCGTTGTAGGAGGAGTCAGATGTCTTGGGTTGTCTCTCTGTTTCTATTGTTGTTGGGGTTTGATGCCTCTGCACTGAGTCACACAGTCACTTTAAACAAAATGGAGGCCAAGGTCTCTCGTGTCATTCCCTTAATCAGGCCATGATTTAAGGCCACCCAATTTGGGGCTATTTCATTTTCATTCACATGTAGTTTTGAATTTGGGATTTCTTAAAAACTGTGTGGGGTAGAGCGGCCCAGTCCAGTGGACCTTGAAATCAAAACAAGACACATCTGCTCTCTTCCCTGGATATGGAACCCACCCTTCGGGATATCATTTACACTTTGAACAACATTCTGGATCAGGTAGGAATGTTTTCTGCAACATGCCCCATGGCTGATCAGACTTTATGTCAAATTTCATCCCACAGCCATCTCCTCCTTCACCAAGAATGTGTCATTTTCCTCTCTCCTGGGTTTCCTGCTGGGCTGCTGGGCTCACTCACTTTCCTGCTGGGCTCACTCAGCTGTATTGTCTGAAGTCAAGACTTAACTCAAAATCTTTCTGTAAAAGAGCACTGCTTCCTTTCACTCTGAGCCATCCGTCCCCTTGGCCCATGAGGAAATCTGCTCTAGACAGCCCTTTGAGACAGCATTGGTGACCCAAGTGGAGGTCCAATCTTTTACTCACCATAGAATAAGATTCACCCTGGGCAGAAGACCATCACAAAGGCCCATGCGCCACTGACGTCCCTGCTAAGACCAAGTTTGAAAGTTTAAAATGGGACTAACATTGATCATCGGCTTCATACTATCCCCCTGCCAAAGAGTGAAGTTCAGACTTCAAGTCCTGACAGGAAACATACTGGAGGCAATGGAATGATTCAAAGGGGATTGGATCTGACCTGCTGGGAATGGAGGTGGTCAGAATGGAGAAAAATGGATCCCTGCTTCCTAGAACGTTTAGAATGAACTGCCCCATGCCCCCAGTCACGACCAGCATGAATTGAAAGGACCAAACTAGATTCCTTTCTTGACACCCACTTGTGCTACTGATGCTGCTCAGAATCACCTTGACATTCATTCTCATTGCAGCACCAATAAAGTCATTGGAATGACACGAGAAATGTAGTTGGCTGAAACAATTTTAAGATGAAAGACAACTGAAGAGTGCAATGTGCATATCACGCCCTCTGAGGCTGAGATTAGTCCACTAATCACCAACGCTGAGGAAAACAGCTGCATCCAAAGAAGGACTTACAAAGGCAATCAAGTTTGTTTAGAAACTAATTAGGACCTCCTCACAAACAGCATCACAGATCCTCCAGGCAGTCCTCGGAACTGTATAAAAGTGTTCACGACTCAGACCTCTTCTAAACACTTCTTTGGATTTCATCTCCTTGGTGAACTGGGTAAGTCCAATTCAACTCAATCTCTTTCTAACCCTGGAGATATCAGTCTAGAGCCTCCTTTTAGTTTAGGTCGAATCTTGCATGTAGTCACTGTGATTTTTGTCAGGGATCAGGGTGTTCTTCCCTCTTGTGCAATTATTTAGGTGCAAGTCCTGGTGGATTCAGGATCTGAAGCTAAAGGAGGGACTTTAAGAGCAAGATATGCAGTTGAGAAACATATTTCCTATTAACTGGACAAGAATTAGGGCATTTAAATCTTTTCAGTAACTTATGAAAGTCAGTTAGCCATTTTTCACTTAGCTGGATTAGGAAGAAATTTTCTCAGATTAGTCTAGAAAGGGCCAATTCAGTGGTTTGCTACTTTCCTCTGAAGCAGCTGTTACTCCTCACTATTAGAGACACGAGAATCGATGAAGCTAACAAGTGGTGTGACCCATTCTAGCAATTCCTATGTTCTCCCGAGCAGAAATACCCATTGAAGATGCTTCTCCTCAGATGGTGTAATAGCATGGGGCTCCATGAAAGTCAGTGGACCTGAGCTGACTTTACTCCAGTTCACGAGTTTGTTGTTAGTGATTTGTTCGAAGAAAAGCAAAGTTTCTGTTTATTCATCAGCAAGATTTGGTGATTCCCAAGGTTTGGAAAACCAAACAGTCACACTGTAATACCGAGCTCAGCTGGTTTGCATGCAGAGGTTAAATCCTCAAACGAAAAGAAGTGATTACCATGATCCCAGCCATGTTATCTTTGATAAATGTCTAAAATGGACCCAAAATCCCAGGTGTCCAGTATAGAAATAGTTGCATTCATTCTAGCCAGTGTTTTACAGAGAAAATCATTGAGAGCGTCTCAAAGGGGCCAGTTGGGAGGGAAGTTTAGTGCAAGTGGACAAGAGGCGTAGAAAGAGAAAATAGAAACAAATACATGACCACACACAAAGAGATTAAATCCACTTCTCCTCTCTCTCTCAGGACCCATGCTGACCTCACGACAATTCTAACCAAGCTTTGAAGCCTTTCTTCCACCGGCACTTGTACCGTCTCTTTACTCTAACCCCGGTTGTGTGTTTCAGGTTTACCTCCATCCCAGAAAGATGACTTTCTCCAGCCTCTGCTATCCAGAATGCGGGGTGGCCCGACCCAGTCCAGTCACTGGCAGCTGGAATGAGCCCTGCGTTAGGCAGTGCCCTGACTCCGAAGTGGTGATCAGACCCTCCCCAGTTGTCGTGACCCTCCCAGGACCAATTCTGAGCAATTTCCCTCAGCAGAGCGAAGTGGCAGCCGTAGGCGCACCTGTGGTCGGAGCTGGTTTGGGAGGCTCATTCGGTTTGGGGGGATTGTATGGCTACGGAGGCCGTTATGGAGGGTTGTATGGTTTAGGGAGATATGGTGCCTACGGGGGCCTTTACGGTTATGGGGGATTATTGGGCCATGGGGGATACTGCGGTTACCCGGGCCTTTACGGTTATGGGGGATTATTGGGCCATGGGGGATACTGCGGTTACCCGGGCCTTTACGGTTACGGGGGATTATTGGGCCATGGGGGATACTGCGGTTACCCGGGCCTTTATGGTTATGGGGGATTAAGGGGATACGGGGGATATGGCCGTAGGTATCTTGGTGGATATTGTGGGCCATGTTAAACCCAGCAGGAACCTCCACAGAAGAAGGAAGAACCAGGAAATGAACAGCAAGATACAGATTCACCCCTGATCTTTTGGGCATGGCTTTCCAAAGTACTGAGCAAACATGGCTCCACTTGAAGTCAGTGGGAGCTGTGTGTGCTCAGCACCTTGGTCTGATAGCCCTGCTGCATTTCTAATGTTGCGCTTTAGGATTCTTTCTGCCAAGGCTTTCCCAGCCATGTGCTGATTCTTTTATTCACATGAGGACTCATTGTGAATTACACGCAGGCTGTTTACACTGACCCCGCAGTGTGAAGGAAATAGGAGCCTTAAGATAGGCATCATTTATGGTTATTATCACTTTAAGTCCACATGTTCTATCCTTCTTATCCATATGTACCTTTAATGCCTCACTTTGACCTTTGCTACGGCCCATGTATAATGGAGAAGCTGCGTAGTCCTCTGCTTCTATTTTGCTTTGGCTCATTTTTCACCCAATAGCGTAAAACAAGGCACTTAAAATTGTTACAGTGCGGACTTGTTTGTCAACCTCTGCAGCTGAAAGAAAGCAAACAGAACATCTTGTCTGAAATACATCCCACTGAGGCAGGTGATCGGACGCAGCCCTTCTTGAAATACTGGAAATACATTCTTTCTGCTCTGTAGTATTTCTCCCTGTAACTGTGTACTGTCAATTTCTTTTGCATTAAAATCTCTGCTGCATCGTAATATCAGTCTTCTGGTTCTCCTTGTTTTTCCCTCCTTCCTAAAAAATCATGTTGGATGAAATTCCTCCCTTTGGGAGAGACGGCAGCACTGGGCACTTCTCCAGTTGCAATTTTCAAAGCCCTGAGGTGACAGGAGAATCCAGCCCTGGGAGTGGTTGATAGCATTCTGCAGTCCCTGAGTACCAGGGTGGAGTTCCTCTTTGCATTACCTGTTTTAGCAAAGCGTCTTTTCCTGCAAAGACTTAGACAGATTTTCACTTGAAGAATGTAAGTTTTTCCTTTGATTTCAAGAAGACCAATCACATGGTTCGTGGTAAGAGTCTGTGTGAGTCTTTGCAGTGACCCAGGTTTTTGTAAGGAAAGGAAAAGTGGCCACCAGATCAGTTAGTTAACGCAATGTTAACGGTAGACCAGGGGCGACGGATTCTTCCTAAGAGTGTGGGTGTGGCACGAGGCCCTGCTCCTTCCGGGGGCCCATTCCAATCCCTCTTCTGTCCCCGAGGTCCTGTCTCCCTGGCCAAACCGAAGCTGGATCCAGGCTGGGGAGCCTGGGTTCTTCTGTCTGCCAGGGCTGAGGGGCCTCAGAGCAGCCCCCGGTCCGTGTCCACAGCTTCTGGGTCCCACACACATGGCAGCTGGAGGGTCCGCGCATAGACACATATTCAATAATTAGAATATGAAAGAAGTGAATAAATATGCTGAATTCTTTTGGGAATGACTTTTTTGTGTGTGGGTACGTCTGTCCCGGGGTCTGTCAGCAGCGAGGAGGAATCTTGTGCTGAAGCCCAAGTGGGAAGGACCAAAGCTACAGAAACTGCTGAGGAAATGGGAGAGTGTCTCTTTAATTCCTCTCCAGCCATGCAGGGCAGTTTGCTACCAGGGGTGGGGAGGGTAGAACCAGCTCCTGTCCCATGGCTGTTCCCTCAGGGGATGGGAATGTTTTGCCAGACAGAAGGAAATTTGTCCAGGTTGCTGGCTGCCAGGATGTTGGAGTTAAGCAAGGAGCAGAACTCACTCTAAAATGCACAGAAAAAGGTGTCCTAGAGCAGGGGTTCTTAAACTGGGGGTCCAGACCCCTCAGGGAGTCGCTAGGTTATTACATGGTGGGGTTGCGAGCTGCCAGCCTCCACCCCAAACCCCACTTTGCTTCCAGCATTTATAATAGTGTTAATATATAAAAAGTGTTTTTAATTTATAAGGGGGTGGGGGTCGCACTCAGAGGCTTGCTATTTGAAAGGGGTCACCAGTAAAAAAGTTTGAGAGCCCCTGTCCTACAGGGAAGCCCAGAGAAAAGTGGTGAGTGTCGGGGACCGCTGCGGTGGGTGTGGATTGCATGGGCTCTGTAAACTGGAGGCAAACCCAGTTCAGAGAGGGAGGAGGGTGCAATGCTTCCCAGTAAAGGGTCTGTTCTGGCTGTTAGCTGTGAGCCCACAGCTGAACAGGGGGCAGATTCCTCTCGAGAGAGCACAGGGGTGTGTGCCCCGGAGGGTGGCGGGGGGGCAGAGGAAGAAGTAAAGATGGGATGTGGGGGGGGGGGTGTCTACAGGAATGTCTCCTCACTAATTACAGAGGAAGGCTTGCCCAGGAGAAATTTGCTGGATCTGCATCTGTAATCCCAGGGACCCCACCTGTGGCTCAGGTTTTTAGGGGGAACAGTGTAATTGACCTCCCTGTGGGAGCAGCCAGACAACTGGCCTCTGGGGAATGGAGAGAGGTGACCGAGGGTCCCCCAAGCCATTATTGCAAAATGTTTTTCCTGTTGTACTTGTGAAAACTAACTCTGTCCCTTTAAGGTGGGGGTTAGGGGTTCTTCCAAGCCTTCCCCTGTCAGTGAATATGGTAATGAACCCTCTGACGAAGGGGAAGAGACAGCCATTTCCTGGGCAGGTAAACCCCTCCCCACAGCTAAGCATCAAACACTGAGTGATGGGGGCGGGCAATTCAAAGGAATCCCAGGACGGCAGCACCGGGCACTTCTCCAGTTGCAATTTTCAAAGTCCTGGAGTGACAGAAGAATCCAGCCCTGGCAGTGGTTGATCGCGTTCTGCAGGCCCTGGGGGTGGATTCGAGGAAATGCAACACCCCAGGAGGTGGGCCAGTGACATACAAGGTCCCCATATGCCCTTTCCTTGCCAAACCCCCAATGACGTACCTTTACTGAGGGGATGAGGAATACAATAAATGCTGAACAAACGGATCTGTTTCAACAGAAGGCATGGTATGATAATCATACTTGGAAGCGCCTCCATGTTACGAATTTGCTGGTAATGTTATGTCTCTTACTACACACACTGTGGGTTAAGATAAGGAATTTGATCCTGGTGGTAAATACTTTAAAAATATGTGACATGCATGATTTTGGAAGACTGTTTGGTACAGATTAGGAGAGGTAACAAGAAAGTCCTATAAGAACACTGCTTCTCAGCTAGTACCTGTAAACAGGCTTAGAGCTTGGCATAGCAGAGAAAGCATAACCAATCTAGACTGGTGTGTGGAAGGGGAAACTGAGGCACATCGCCTCATGGCATTGGTGGCTAAATACCTACACTTTAAAGGATATTGATATCTGCATGATGTTAACAATGTTTTAACAGGATGTTTTCAATGGCGAAAATACACCAAAATCTTTTCAGACATCCTGGGAACAGAAACCCAGAACTCTGCAAAAGCACCTATGGACAACACTGGAGGTAGTATAAGCAAAGCCAAAAATGGATTTTAGGCACACCGCCTCCGCATTGGTCATTGACCAAACCTCTGGCAGTAGTCGAAGGGGAGAGGTGTGACATTACACCCCATAGTCTTCATAGAAATATGGTTATGATATGAATATGGCATAACTCAGATATAATTTATGTAAGCTATCATTGAAAAGGTTTTTGTTTATTTACTGAGGTAATCTGCTTTAATCTGTTTTCTAACCCTTATAAGCATTTAAAATTTACCTTTTGTAGTTAATAAACGTATTTCTTGTTTATAACAGAGCCCAATTTGAACAATTCCTATTTGGGGCTGGGGGGGAGAGGGTAAGAAGCTATGCACAATTCTCTCTACATTGAGGGAGAGGATGAATTTTTCTGAGCTTTCGCTGTGCAGAACTTTCTGTACAGTTCAAGACAATATGATTTGGGGTTTATCTCCCAAAAGGCGTGTGTATGAGAGTACTGGGTGAGTCCTCTCACACAGAGTTGACTTCGGTCTGTGTCCGCAGCTGGGTGTGGCCCTCCTTGTGTGTGTGTGCTGCAAGAGGCCGCAGAGCCTAGTCAACAGAACAGGGCAAGGGACCCCAGGCTGGTGGAGCAGGAGAGACTCAGTGAAACCCCAGTACATGGGGTGGCATCCTGGACAAGGGGCGGGAGCGGCGCGGTCCAATCGGTCACAGAATGGAAGAGCAATTAAACCAGAAGACCAACAGTATGTGGTAGTAGATATTTGAATTTGAAGCAAAGTGGAGTCAAAAATTGTCAAAAAAAAAAAAAAAGAGAAAGAAAAAAAAGAAAAAAAAAGAAAAAGGGATAGAAAACAGAGTAGCAAGACTACATTTCCATGGTTTCATGAAGGGCTGTATCCTAGCCCCAGTGCCAAAGTGGTGTATTTCTCACACAGTTCTCTTACTTTTTTAGTGCAGTTGTAGAGTCTGACAACCAAGAGTCTGTCTGCCCCCATTTTTAATTACTTGTTCCACCCTGGCTCTGGCTGCTGCTCTCTCCTTAGCTTGGCCTCCCGCTCAGGGAGCTCCAGCTCACACAGAGGATGGGACCCCGGGCTTCTGACTCCTTCATTGGCCTGCCCCACCCTGTCAGTCAGGCTGACCTGCAGCATTGGGATCTCCCCAGTGGAGTTTGGGACAAGTTAAAATGGAGTTTGAGTTACAATATGGACAAGTATAATGAATGCCAAACAGTGAGCAGAAGTTACAATCATAGAATCATGTTAGTCCCATTTTAAACTTTCAAACTTGGTCTTAGCAGGGACGTCAGTGGCGCATGGGCCTTTGTGATGGTCCTCTGCCGAGGGTGAATCTTACTCTATGGTGAGTAAAAGATTGGACCTCCACTTGGGTCACCAATGCTGTCTCAAAGGGCTGCCTAGAGCAGATTTGCTCGTGGGCCAAGGGGAGGGATGGCTCAGAGTGGAAGGAAGCAGTGCTCTTTTACAGAAAGGTTTTGAGTTCAGTCTTGACTTCAGACAATGCAGCTGAGTGAGCCCAGCAGGAAAGTGAGTCAGCCCAGCAGGAAACGCAGGAGAGAGGAAAATGACACATTCTTGGTGAAGGAGGAGATGGCTGTGGGATGAGATTTGACATAAAGTCTGATCAGCCATGGGGCATGTTGCAGAAAACATTCCTACCCTGTAGGATTCATACAAGGTTCATGCGCTTGGCAACATTCAGGGCACACCCAGAGTGTTGTACAGGAGCAGTGCACACACAGCTCTTCTCAAGGGCATGAACCTTGGAATCTTGCCCAGATGACATGAACCGTGGGAAGCCTCCCAGGACTGGGCTCAAGGCCCGAGAGCAAGGAATGCGGTAGTTAGAAACTGGTAAATAAGAATGTTAAACAAAGCCAGTGTTTTCCTTTTATCTGTTGGAGAATGTAATGCGCGGGGGGAGAGAAAGAATAAAGGGGAAGGTGGAATGCTGACAGGCAGAAGTCGGTTGGCAGACCAGCTCGCTTGCTTGCTAAAAGCTCTGTGCTGTCTTGTATTTGAACCGCAACACTACCCGATCCAGAATGTTGTTCAAAGTGTAAATGATATCCCCAAGGGTGGGTTCCATATCCAGAGAAGAGGGCAGAACCTTTGATTTCAAGGTCCTGAACCTCTTTGAAGGTGATGCAACCGAGCTGATTTACCCCAAGAGAGCACCTTCATTTTCCAATAACAAAATCCCTCCAAAAGCAAATGAGCCCCCGAAACCGGTTCTGACCACAGGGGCTCCTATGGTCCCACTTGACTCTGCTGAGAGAAATTGCAGAGAATTGGTCCTGGGAGGGTCAC